TTTTTAAAAATTGGACAATTAAAAACTAGAAAAAACTAAGGGAAATAAGATAAAGAACTGTGTTATGTCTGCTCTAATTCTGTGTGTAGGAGTCGGCAAATGCCCTGTAACTTCCTGACAAACCACTGCTGTTTATCCTCACAAGAGTACTCATAAACTTTGCGCTAGTAGGTTTATACAGCCCTCCCAGTCTACGCTCTCCCAAGGCCTGGAACTAAATAAAGGTCACAATCCTAACTTGGTTTCTTATTTTGTCACTAAAAACACAAGTCAGTCAATGTTTAAGGCCAGATTCCTCAAGCTCCTCTGCTTTTTATTTCTTGACAGTGTCAGTGGCTGTTGCATAGGGTCTGTAGCCTTGGGCCTGGCCAGTGGCTTTGTTTCCTTGGCATTGGTGCTCAACTCTTGAAGGCAACTAATGATTGGCCCCAGTGATTGGCGCAAGCCATTTCTTTTTTGTTCATCTCATCCCCTGAGCAAGAGTTAGTAACAGCACTAAAACAGGGCCAGTTAACACCCTATTCAAACACCAGGAGGTGCAGGAGAGCTGTTGCTTCCCAGGTGGCTCACATGCAACTCTCCAGCTTCTCTTCTACATAGTGGCATCATCCACTACTGCATAAGTCTGAATACCTTTCATATAGATATACTGTTAAGGTTGTGCTAAAATGAGGGAATAATACTCCTATTAAGTCTTTGAAAATTGAGTTATTGACTATTTTTATGGTACTGCGTTGTTTTCTTATCTACACATGTATACAAAATTTCGTCCAAGTTTCAGTAATACTATGGAAAAAATGTATTAAAAATAACTTAGTGATGATCACTAAGAACATTAAAGAATGGCAAGTTTATTTTTAAAAATTGTACTGGTTTCATAAAGAAATTAATAATAAACAATAGACTGGAAATCAGAAGACCTGAGTCTTTATCTTAGTTTTACTACCAAGTAAACATGTGAAATTTGAATACTACTTTTTTACTTTCTTTTTTCCATTAGTTAAAAAAAACGAAGGAAGGGATAGAAAACTGGAATAGAAAATTGTTAAATTCATTCCTGCTCCAAAATCACATATTATAATGTTCAGAAGGTGTTTTAAAATAGTATTTACTTTGTGAAATACATAAATTTAAGTAGAAGTTTACATTCGAGATTAATTGAAGTTCATTGAAGGCAAAGGTGGAGTGTCTTTATAAAAAGTCTCATGAATTATCTTATACTAAATAAACACTCAAATTCTAATGAAGTGAACATTCTGTTTTGCCTAAACTAAAATTCGTAAAGTTTTCATCCAAATTGTTATGGAACCACCACTTAATTTAGCAAGTTACTTAGCCTTCCTGAGCAAGTTTCATTTGTGGAAAGGGAATAAGATACACCTTACAGAGTTGTATGAGTAAATGAAATAAAGTTCTTGCATATAATAATCATATAATTGTTCAGCTAATAGAACTCTTTTTACTTAAAATCTCATGATTATTGGGCTCTGAGATTCTGTCAAAATTCTCTCAAATTTTATCCCCTCAGTATATGTTCTGCTTATTTATTTTAATCCTTCTCTCCCTTCTGGAATGTATACTCTATGAGGGCAGGAATTTTGTCCATTTTGGTTATGGTTGTATCCTCAGCACTTAGAACACTGCTTGGCAAATAGAAGATGCAAAAAAAAAAAAATTAAAGAACACCACCATTACCAAGCACTTAACTATGAAATAATTCTGCTCACAATTTGCAAATGATAAAATGCTTCACTGATTGTGTCATTTTTTGAATTTACTATGCATGGAATTTTAAGTGTTATTAAATATTAGTTAACAACTTGGGTATTGCATTAGTCTTGTAGTCTTTCTTCTCACACAGGGCAAGGATACTATTCTCAAGGTTGCTACTGGCTTCAACACCCATCACAGATCCTCTCTGAATCCTTTAGAGGATTGCTGTTATACTGGAGGCTTGCTATGTGAATCTCAAGAGCTAAACAAAATTGAGAATTTTATGAAATCTTGAGTTCAGATTTCCTTATGTGCTCTTCTCCAACTCTAGCTCATTCCCACCTGGCCATATTATGGTTAGACTGAGTTTCTCCATTGCCGTTGGCTCTATAAAGTTCTGGGCTTTCTTCTCTTGTGTCCCCTGATTATGGAATATGACAAATATTTCTGGAAATTTTACATATGTCAGGTCATTGACAATCTTTGTATCCAGAAGGAATGCTGGAAAGGCAAGAGGAGGGCTCACAATCTCAAATGCTTACAAAGGGCAGGAGAACATGTAAATGAGTGAAGGGGTAGCAAGAATCTCATATGAGAATTATGATCATATTCTTTATTTTTATTTCACTTTGGTATATGCATGTAACATAAATATATATGATATTAGAGATTAAATTCTCTGATGTAAATTCAAATACCCAATTAAAACTAGTTTAGTTATGTTTTTCATCTTAAATTCATTATTTTTTAAAATCTTGAACCAGGGAAATATAACGTTTTTTCTGCTTCATCTGTGATCAATATTAATTTTATTCAGTCTAATAATGTAAAAATTTTTCATAGAGATAGTTTTTCCAAAACAGATTCCTTGCTCAATTTTTTGCATGTTTAAAATATCTGAGGTATTTATAGAATTCAGTTCATGTGTAGTTTTCAGAACTACACTTCAGTATACTAACTTCCATTTTTAGCTCTTTATTCACATTATCAGTATTAGCTGAGAAAAGGCAAACTGATCCAGTTTGTTTATTTTTATAAATTTCAAAATCAAATAACTTTTTTAGAATTTAATTTTTACTTCTACATGAGGTAATCATCACTTAAATTTCTGGAAAATGATTTCTGCATATGAAAGTAGGCCAGATTTTTCGTGGTTAAGTGAATTTTCCAAAGGCACAGTTTGGTTAGAAATTAGATTAATAAAATGAATGGTTTGTGTAACTGGTAGAGAAGTAGAATATATACATCAACCAAAGGCCCGGTCTGAGTAAGTCTTCACTAATGACTTCAGCTGACACTTTCATTAGATGACACAAACCAATTTCTTACAAACATCCAAACAAACCTCTTTATTCTCATATCTACTATGCATATGAGTCATCAAGTCAAGAAAGCGTTGACATGTCTCCTGTGATTCAAACCATGATAGTATATTCACTTCATGGGTCCATTGCTGTGTTCTCTTTTTCTAAATTAAATGTGATTTCTATTGAATTATGAAATAAACATATGTTGTATGGCTTTGCAAACTGCAGTGTGTTTTGTAAATGAAGTCCAGTGTTAGTGCTGACTTGCTAGAATACTTCCTGCAGCCCTGTTTACCCACTTCACTCAACACACACAAATAATTTCCTAATATGCCCATTACTGGCATGACATTCAAAAGCTATTCAAACACTTAAAACCTTGCAGATATCACAAATGACTATAGCTACTTGGGTGGTATTTATATCTTATATCTGTTCTCTCATTGGCTGGGAGGCAGAAAAAACTAGATGATTTAACCTTTTCATGCTACTTTGTACTATAAATCCCTCCACCCCAGCTTCAGCATGCTAAGAAATATTATACTGGGTTACATTTATATTTGTAAATGTTAGTTTCTGTTTAGGACACAATTTCTGCTGCAATCAGCCTTTTCATAAACTCATGATTGGCAGAAGGTTTTAATGCCAAGAAATTTTTTTTGCTTAATATGTTTTACACCATTATTACTGCTATAATTCAGGCCTTGTTTTCAGTCCATTAAGTTATTCAGTAAGTTAAGATTTTTATTAACATTTCTTTGCTATTCTGTTTGTACTTCTTACTGTGGTTGGTTTCATAATAGCTTCTGAAGTCATGTATATTTAATAGAGTGTGCATTAGTAGTTGGTGTGCACTGTTAGTCATGTAAGAATAATCTCTACTTCTATGATGACATACGCTCTTCAACTTCTCTTGAAACACATGACTATGTCAGTCTTCATTTTTTCCATTTTTAATGGATAGAAGTGATGATAATGATAAATGGTAACTCTCGGTCAATGTTAGGGAGATATTAGGTAGTAGTGGGATTTGTGATAAACCTGAGAACACCTGCCCAATGGCAGCAGCTTTCGTGAATTAGGATTAGGTTTGCCTGAAAAGCCAAAACAATATAGCTTAAATAAAATATAAATGCTTTTCTTTTGGTAAAAGTCCAGGGAGGCAGTCCTCAGTGGTATGCTGGTTCCAAGATCATTAGGAATCTAGGCATTTTCTTATTGCTGCCATATGCTGTATCAGCAGCTCCCCCTTGAGATACAACATGATTGTTCCAGCCGTTATTTCCACATTCCACCCAACAAGAAAAAGGAAAACAAAGAAGATGGCATCCTCCCTTTGAGGGCACTTCTGAGAAGTTACATATCACTTTCACAGACATCCGGTTCGCCAGAACTGCTGGTCGCACCTATTTGAAAAGGACACTGGGTCTTTATGTGGCCATCTGCTCAGCCAAAAATTGGGAGATCAATTACTGTTGACAAAAAGGAAAACAAATATTGGAGAACAACTAACAGCCTACGTCATAGTACAATTCAGCTCCAGCTAACTTAGGCCATGTGTGAATGTGCGCCTACTGAAACTAGAATGAAACCAGAAATGATAATTATTCAAGAGAAGTAAAAAAGCCATTTTTATGTGAAATTGTACAATTTTTAGATGTTGACAAGTGATTCAAAAATTTCTGTAGTTTGATAATCAAAAATCAGTGGTCTACATCCTACCAGGGGACACTCACTTGTGACTATTTATATAGATAAGAGTATCTCATAGCATGAAAAAGAGATCTGCTACATGTCTTCATGTTTTGACATTTATGCAAAAGGCAAAAAAAGTATTTATCATGGCAGTGGGAAGTTGCAGGTATTAACATATGTGTATCCTCAGGGGTGACATTCATGTGCTTCTTACATGGTGAAGAAATATATCCTCCTTAATTTGTGGCATGCTTTTGATGATGCTATGAGAAATGAAGAGATTCAGTGCCTGTCTCAGCAGCACATACACTACAATTGGAATAATGTGGAGAAAGATTATCATGGCTCCTGCACAAGGATGACACACAAACTTGTGAAACATTTCCTATTGAAAAAAAAAGAAGAAGAAATCAAGTGATTCAACATAAACCAACAATCCACGTTGCTCAAGGAAGTAACATAGCCTGGCAATTAAACCAATCTCAAAACCAATTTCTAGGTATTCATCATCATATATAACTTTGATTCATTTAACACATATTTATTGACGACCTTGTAAACGCCAAGCTTAGCTACACATTTTTATGACAAAAGATCAGGAGTCAGAGGGCTCCATTCTCAGCTCTGTTTTGTTCAGTACCAGATCCTTAATAAGGATATTAATGGCAGTGGTGATATTTGTAGATGACACCAAACTAGGAAGCATGACAAATACCGTGGATGACAGACATAGGATCCAAATTATGTTAACAGCTTGGAATGAATGATATGCCAAATTCAACTAATTGAAATTGAAATGTCAAATTCTACACCAACGATCTATGGCAGACACTGTTCTTTGTCTACACAATATCTATTTCCACTTCCTTCTTCCTAATAAACCCAAATTCTGCTTGGGGAATCAGTGTGTCCAGCTAGAGACCCACTTTCCCTATATCCTTTGCAATTTAGAATGGCAAGGTGACACACTTCTTGTTGAGACACAAAGTAGAATTCTACAGGGAGTTCTCTGGGGAAGCTTTTGCATTTCTGAAGAGGTCAGAGAAAACTGACATCTTCCTTTCTTTTTCACCCTTCATTCTGCCTTTAGTGTCGGATGTGATATTTGAATTGTGGCCATAGGGGACAAGCACACAAGAAAGGACAAGAGAATGGCAATTATAATAGAGCTTGACACTGTTAGGCCATTGAATTAACATTATACCAGCAATCTGTACCTCTGGTCGTCTTACTGTGTGTGAAAAATAAACCCCTAACTATTTAGGACTTTCTTTAGGCTTTCTGTTACTTGTAGCAGAACACATTCCTGACACAAGTCCCAGATAGCACTTGCAAAAACGAGGTTAACTTCACAACTATAAGGCAAAAATCTGTGGTAAACCAGAAGCCTAATATATAACAAGCCAGTATTCTCTTAATTTACTTTAATAGACATGTAATATTCATAAACAAGGAAAAAACTTTATCACACATAAAATACTGTGGCTGGTTTCTAATTCCTTGCAATACTCACATTTGCAATTAGGATGATCAGGAGACATGAAATCAAGTCATTTGAAAATGGCCAAAGGGATCAAGAACCATTTAATTCAAGAAAAGAAAGTCTGCTGTGGACACAACTGTCATTTAATACCTGAAGAATAGTCCTATGGTATAAAAATTATATTTATATGTGGCTCTAAATGGGAAATTAAAAACCAAAGGGAAGTACAGAAACTTTTGTTTAATATAGGAAAGTGTTTTAAAATATGTATTCCTCAAATATCAATTTTGATCATTTTTAAAAGCTTGTTTTTCTGTAATATTTAATATAAGAACATTTAACCTGGAGCCTATTGTTCTGCTTTGTATTTATACATACTCTTATCTCTCTTTTTTCCCATCCTCTCTCCTTAGAACTGTCTGCAAATGAATGAGTTACTCAAAACAAACTTCCTGTCAAATTTACATTTTGAAGACAGTTTTGCATTTTAAGGTAGGCTAAAAGTTAATAATAAAGTTATTAGAGTTGCAAATTTAAAAGCTTGTTTTATTTAATACAACAAACTCATTTTACACATCTTGTTATTCTACATATAAATCTAGTAAATTTTATGTAAGAATAATATATTCAATCAACTGAGTTTAAACAACTCTCTTTTTTTGGATATAATTCACATACCATTTAATAAGTCACCCTTGTAAAATATATAACTCAATGGTTTTTAGTATATTCACAAAGTTGTGCAATCATCCCCATAATCTAATTCTAGAGCATTTTCAACACCCCAAAAGGAAATCCCATACTCCTTAGTGGCCACTTCCCATAAACCCCAAATCCCTAGCCCTAAGCAACCTCTATAGATTCTGTCTCTATAGGTATTCCTATTTGGAACATTTCATATGAATGAATCCTACTATATATGGTCTTTTGTGACAGGCTTCTTTTAATTAGTATAATGTTTTCAAGATTCATCCATGTTGTAGCATGTATCAGCAGTTCATGCTTTATTTATTGCCAAATAATATTCCATTGTATGGACATACCACATTATATCTATCAGTTCATTAGCTGATGGTCATTTGGATTATTTCTACTTTTTGATTATTATGGTTAATGTTGCTATGAACATTGTATACAAGTTTTTGCGTGGATATATGTTTTCAGTTGGAATTGAATTCCTGGGTCACATGTCAACTCTGCATTTTACTTTTTTAAAAATTGAAGTATAGTTGATTTACAGTATTGTATTAGTTTCAAGTGTATCGTGTTTTACTTTTTGAAGAACTGCCAAACTGTTTTACAAAGTGTCTACACCATTTTACATTCCTACCAGCAATGTATGAAAGTTCCAATTTCTATTTCTCTATATTCTTGTCAACATTTGTTATTGTCTTTTTTATTATAGCTATATTAGGAGGTGTGAAGTAGTATCTCCCTGTAGAACTCAGCTTCTTTTAAACCATATGTCCTATGCACAAACCTATTCAAATTGCCTTAAACTGCATTGATCATTTTAATAACTGATGTTTTTAAGCACTTCAAATGCCTTACCAGACAAATAAACATGCAAAACTTCCAATAATTTAAACATCCCTTATAAGTCCAATAAGTTTAACTTATAAATGTAATAAAACTTAACTTTTCATTTCAAGTATTTAATACTGATTATAAACAATTAAAATGTTTACATCTTATTATTTAATGAGTCTGAATTCAATTATACAACTCAAAGTAGAATCATAAACCTAATCTGTCAAATTCCCTAATATGCCTGATTCTCCTAAATATTAAAATTTTAAACCCTAAATACTTATATGTTATCTATAATTACTAATAATTATCTATAGTAATTATAGCTATTTAATAATTATAATATTATCTATAATTATTATCAATAATTACTAACTTATTCCTGCATTTAACATGAAAGAATAAATACTACTCTTTGACTGCATTTAGATCTTTTAAAATTTTAACTCTTCCTGGGATTGGAAGAACACTTACTAAGGAAACATTTTACCAGCTCAAATTAATTCCTGATCCATTCATTTGTAGTGAGTTGAGCACCAACTATGTGCCAGTGAACAAAACAGATCAAATCCTTTGCTAAGCTCAAAGATTCCCATTGAGAGAGGATGTTACTAGCATGACTTTAGAACTGTGACTAAGAAATGGAAATGGGATGAGAGACATGCATCTTTTAAAAGATGAGAGTTACAGTCTTATACTGAAGTGGAGGACAAAGACAATAAATGAGGTAAATATGAAAACAAGATATATTCTTGAAAAGTGCAAAGAGGGAAAAAAGACAGAGAAAGGGAATCAGAAGTGAGGGGAGGAAACAGCATTAAAATTTTAGATAGGGTAGCCAGCAAAAGCCTCACTGAAAAAGACGAATTTTGAGTAATGACTGAAGCAAGTGAGGGAACTAGCTACGCAGATACCTGAGGAAAGAGCATTCCAGATAAAGAACATCAAGCACAAAGGCACTGAGGCAAGAGCCTACAGAGAACAGACACGGGCGGACCAGCCAGACAGCCACGGGGAAAAGAATAGTCATGGTGATGGTGGGTGGAGGTGATGTTGGGTTAAGAGGGCCTGGCAGGGCCCTGAAGGGATATAAGAAGCCGTTGGAAGGTTTTGAGCAGAAGAGAGACATGGTTTGACTGAGGTTTTAATAGAATCATGCTGGTGTCAGTGTGGTGATTGGCTGAAGAGGAGCCACAAACAGAAGCAAAGAAACCGGTTAAGAAGCTATGCTGTTTCGATAATAAACTGTGGAGGAAGGCACACGCAGGAGCAGAGGACTAGTTAGGAGGGGACTGCAACAGCAAAGGTGAGATCAGGAAAGCTTGTCCATTAAGGAAGAATGCTAAAGCAGTTGCCAGGTCTGATCCAGCAAATACCAAAGAGGCCAAGGGGAGAGGCATTTCCTGCTTTCTGCAGGGTGAGAAGTAAAGTCCTTGCCTGACAGCACTATTCTGTTATATCAGCTGGGACAGGTAACTGTTGTATCTGATGGACTACAAAACTTCGGAGACTTAAGTCAGTATACATTTGTTTATAGCTCATATAAAATCTCTCTCCTCCAAATGGTAATTTGAGAACTCAGGATCCCCCTTTCATCTTGTGGCTCCACCACATTCAACATAAGGCTTCCATAAGGAAGCCTGCAGCAATAGCTACAGAAGAAAGAGACAAAGGGTCTCACTTGGTAAGTATGAACGAGTCAGACCAGGACACGTCAAGCACTTCTGCTCAAATTCCACTCACCAGAACTCTATCATAGGCCACACCTACACTGCAAGGAACGCTGGGAAGTACAGCCCAGCTATGCGCCTAGGAGGAAGGGGAGGCTGACATAGTGAAGAGCTAGCCATCCTCTCCAGCTATGAATGAGCATGCTCTTCACCAAACATTCCCAGGCCTCTTTCTTCAAAGTGCCAAGGGCCAGTTCCTCGGCAGATTTTGAATTATAAGGAGCTGGCTATTTGTGTGCCCATCAGTGTTTTCACTTACCAGCCACAACTCTTAAAGCTTTCTAAATAAGTCTAAGTTTTCCTCAGTGTAGTCTAGAAGAAGCTGAAATGAATGAACTTGTAACAAACTGAATGACTAACAAACTTTGCTTTGAGAAATATAATCCTAAAGTGCTCCACCCTCATTTCCTAGAGTGCTTTACCTGCACAATTGCTTTATCATTTAGAAATAGATAGGGAACCCATTTTACATGTATTAGAATGGATATGTAAAACCAAGAACAACAGAGATGAAAGATATGCTTTTTAAATTACACTTGTGTGCACAGTCAGTGCTTTATGATCTGCATGAAAGAAAAGGAAACTTAGATAATCTAAATCAATGCACATTATCTTTTCTTCACTTAGGAATTTAATCGCTAACACATATA